ACCCCAGTGTCTTGTTTCTGACAGCAGGCTTCAATAAACGCTGCAGGGTACGTGTTGCAGCCTAAACCATCTGGAGAGCACCAGGGTGGGTTGGATTGTGTGATTTCCAAAATAATTTGGTAGCTTGCTCTTGTGCATCTTTATTCAGAACTTACATTCTGGAGTGCGTTCACTAGGGCTCCACACCAAGAAACAATGCATAGGTTTCACCGTCTTCACTTGCAAAGCGCTTCCCTCCATCTCTACCGTGTTTGTCAGTTATCACAAACAACCCAGTGGGATAATGCACAGTTTCTTATGGCCAAGAAGGCGGGTGGGGGGAATTAAAAAAAGCTACAATCTAAGATACCCAAGTGTCTTAACGAGGGAAAGCCTGTGCTTATTTCCTCGGAAATAAGTCCCACCAAGTTTTGACAGGTAAGTATCAAGTCCATGGGTAGGCAAACTAAGGCCCGGGGGCCGGATACGGCCCAATCGCCTTCTAAATCCGGCCCGCAGACGGTCAGGGAATCAGCGTGTTTTTACATGAGTGGAATGTGTCCTTTTATTTAGTGGAATGTGTCCCGATCTGAACTACAAAATTGTGATTTTCTTGAGCCGAAATGAGAGTACCCCTAAACATTTTTTTTAGAAAAAAAAGCACTGCGTGGACAGACAGACAGACAGTACAGTTGGAAGGGACCCTGGGGTCATCTAGCCCAACCCCCCAGCAACGCAGGCGTAACCATAGCTGTCAACGTTTGCCTTTTTTTAAGGGGAAATTCCCTTATTCCGAATAGGATTCCTCGCAAGAAAAGGGAAAAGTTGACAGCTATGGGCGTAACAGATAAGACAAATGTACATAAATGCACGCGCTCCACAGCCCCCCGTACCTTTCCACACTCCGGCCATGCTGTCCTTGGGGGGGCTGCTCGTAACTGTCAGCCTCGCCTCCCCCCCCCCACTTCTGCAAGCAGAGCAACTCCTCCCCCCCCATCCAAAGCCTCCCCCACTTTGCGACTCACGTGCTGCCTGCAGAACCCGCTTCCTGCAGCAACTTCCGCAAGCTTTGGGAGACACCATCGCGCCGCGTGTCCGTGGGGGGATACGGGCCGCACCAAGTTGCTGGGAGGGGGGTGGCCAACTCTCCTTAGCAACCGCAGGATAATAATAATAACAACAACAACAACAAACAACAATAAATTTTATTTATACCCCACCCTCCGGGCTCAGGGCGGCTAACAACAGTAAAATTACAGTAAAAACATAATATGGAAGAAAAAAACCCAATTTAAAATACAGGTTAAAATGCAATTTAAAATGCAGCCTCATTTTAAAAGTAGCCCATAGATCAAGACCATGTTGTTGTTGTTTGTTGTTTAGTTGTGTCCGACTCTTCGTGACCCCCTGGACCAGAGCATGCCAGGCACTTCTGTCTTCCACTGCCTCCCGCAGTTTGGTCAAACTCATGCTGGTAGCTTCGAGAACACTGTCCAACCATCTCGTCCTCTGTCATCCCCTTCTCCTTGTGCCCTCCATCTTTCCCAGCACCAGGGTCTTTTCCAGGGAGTCTTCACTTCTCATGAGGTGGCCAAAGTCTTGGAGCCTCAGCTTCAGGATCTGTCCTTCCAGTGAGCACTCAGGGCTGATTTCCTTAAGAATGGAGAGGTTTGATCTTCTTGCAGTCCATGGGACTCTCAAGAGTCTCCTCCAGCACCAGAATTCAAAAGCATCCATTCTTCGGCGATCAGCCTTCTTTATGGTCCAGCTCTCACTTCCATACATCACTACTGGGAAAACCATAGCTTGAACTATACGGACCTTTGTTGGCAAGGTGATGCCTCTGCTTATTAAGATGCTGTCTAGGTTTGTCATTGCTTTTCTCCCAAGAAGCAGGCGTATTTTAATTTCGTGACTGCTGTCACCATCTGCAGTGATCATGGAGCCCAAGAAAGTAAAATCTCTCACTGCCTCCATTTCTTCCCCTTCTATTTGCCAGGAGGTTATGGGCCCAGTGGCCATGATCTTTGTTTTTTTGATGTTGAGCTTCAGACCATATTTTGCGCTCTCCTCTTTCACCCTCATTAAAAGGTTCTTTAATTCCTCCTCGCTTTCTGCCATCAAGGTTGTGTCATCTGCATATCTGAGGTTGTTGATATTTCTTCCGGCAATCTTAATTCCGGTTTGGGATTCATCCAGCCCAGCCTTGCGCATGATGAATTCTAATCAAGACCATAAGGGGAGGGAAACATAAGGGTCAGACTGAGTCCAAACCAAAGGCCAGGCGGAACAGCTCTGCCTTGCAGGCCCTTCGGAAAGATGTCAAGTCCCGCAGGGCCCTGGTCTCCTGTGATAGAGCCTTCCACCAAGTCGGGGCCAGTGCTGAAAAGGTCCTGGCCCTAGTTGAGACCAATCGAACCACCTTGCGACCTGTTGTGGATGGGTTGTGCAGTCATCGTAACTATTTAAGATGAGCCTCTCTGGGCACGGGCCTGCGGTGATGGTGCGGGAAACTTCAGTGGCTCAAAGTCTGCCTTTATTGCAGGTTTATCAAGGCACAGGAGCCCTGCATTGGGGAAATGGGACAGGGGTGGGGTAACCCTCATTCTTGGGAAAGAAACCCTGCTCTTTGGAACTCCCTACTATTGATTTCAATCAGGCCTGCTAGAAACATTCTTGTTTACAGACAAGCCAGATGCTTGCCTAAGCCCTCATCCCCACATGAAGAAAGGTGTGGTTTCAAATTTGGTGCGGGGACCATGTCTGGAGATTCCCGCTTTGCAGGGGTTGGACTAGATGACCCTTGGTGCCCCTTCCAACGCCACAACTCTGAAAGTAACTTTGGATCTCCTGCCTCACCCGTTCCATCATCCGCACTTCCTCCTTCCCTCTAGTTAAAATTTAAACTGCAAGTTCCCCAAGGCTTTATGATCTGTTTGCATTGCTCTGTGAAAGAACAGTGTATAGCAGTAACTAATACAGTAATCTCATTTATTATTTTTACAAAAGAGCACGTGGAAGCACAGCAGCTGACAAATCTTCCAACTGAAGCAGAAAAGGGGCATTTAAGTAAGAGTTTTGTTGCTCCTGCTCAAGCTACCCACACCTATTTTTTAAAAAAATCTGTATAATTATTAAATGCACAGGAGCCAATGTTTGGGTTAGTGAAAGGGGAAGCCTTAATGAAATCAGTGAATCCTGAGAGGTTGGATGGGCATCTGTCATGCATTGCAGGGGGTCGGACTAGATGACCGCCAGGATCCCTTCCAACTCTAGAATTCCCATGATTCATCCTAGATTTCCCTCCAAACCCTAATTTCAGCAAAATCTTGTCCCTTCCCCCATAGCCTAAAAATAAAAAGCGGTCAACTCTTCTCACACCCCATTCATAAAGCGTCAGTCTTCCTCTGCATCTGGTCCTGTTATAGCCCTGAAAAGTGGGCCACTGATCTCATGCAGAACAAGACCATCTCCTAGTTCTTTGCCAGATTCGCCTCCTTCGATGGAAAGAAGTTTAATGTTTTTAACAGATGCACTACAGGCAAACTCAACAGGTGAAGTCCAGCCATAAAGAATGGTAAGGTGTTGAGAAAGTTATTCAAGGACCCTCTGCCCATTTTTTTTTTAAGTGACTGTACATACTGAGGGGGAGAAAAAATTGAAGCATTTAAATGAATGGTAATAATAATAATAATAATAATAATAAGGAATAACTTAATGTTTATTGATTCAAAGCCTTTTGATTAAGATGTCCCCAATTAACTGGACAGCAGACTTTAGGGTAATCTTAGGCTGCAGTTATAAATGCGCTTACTAAAGAATAACCCTGGTGGAAATTCATAATCTGGGTAAACATACACAGGATTGCACTGCTAATGATTTTCAAGGATATATTTGCAAAAGCCAAGAGCAGTAGCAACGTTCTTTGAGAATAAGCTTTCCCCTTTCTCCTCCGCACAGGAGATGCCTCTTGCATGATAGTGCTTACCTTTTCTTCTGAATCATAGCCAAAACCCTTGTTCAAATGTACATTAACAAATAAAATCCTCGTCTATTTTTCATCGTATATGAAAATATACGATGAATTAAAAAAGATGATGGGGATAACTTTTACTAAAAAACCGGAGGCATTTCTATTAAGTATTTTAGATAAAGAGATCCCAAAAAATCTAAGAGAGGTATTTTTGTATGCAACCGCAGTGGCTCGAATACTTGTGGCCAAGGGATGGAAAGATCACAAGGCTCCAAAAACAACAGATTGGCAAATCAAATTACAGGAATTGCTGGAGACGGCTCAACTGACTAGTAAACTCAGAGGAAACTCAAAGCAAAAATTAGCGGAAAAATGGGATGTTTATAAAAAATATGTTCAGAAATACAATAATAGTTTTGACTCCATGCTAGCATTCGAGTGATAAAGGAACTAAAAGGAGGTGGACTACAATTAAGGATTTATTATGTTTTCAGAATGTATTAGAAAAATTATATAGAAAGGCTTATTGTTTTGTGTACATTCAAATGTAAGATAAAACATATGCAAAGGGACTTGACAGGAAGTCAAAGTTGAAGAAAAGATTTTGGAAGATAAAAGGGGAAAAAATATTTACTTTCATTATTATCATTTTCTGTGTGGGTGTGGGTGTGTGGGTGTCTGCACATATGTGTGTTGTTGTATGCAATGTTTGGGAGGAAATAAGACGGTAAATAACAAACTAAATATCGATGTATGTAATTTTTATTTCTTAATTATATTTAGTGGTAGTATGGCTGTATTGTTTTTTGCAATATAAAACCATTCAATAAAAATTATAAAAAACCAAAACAAATAAAATCCTATACATGTCTGTTCAGAAGCCAGCCCTGAGATCAATGGGATTTTCTCCCAGGTAACTGTACACAGGATTGAAGCCAGCCTTAATCAATCAACTTAAGATTTCTTCCACTGGGTGACAAGACACGGTAATAACCACACTTAGCCAGTTACGGATCCCCAGCGCAGAAAATAAAACAGGAACACAAAGAAAACAGAAGACATCTCTTTATTTGTGGACATTTTTACAACTTAAAATGTAAAATGAAGTATCTGATTATGACTGATTCTCCACCCCGGGTGGCGGATCTCATTTCTTTTTCCAAAACTTTCTGTAATCGTCCAATTTAAAATCATCTTCGAAACGTGTCTCGTCTTTGGGTTTAAGCTTGGAGGTATCACGTTTCCGCAGGCGGGCTCTCCTTTCGGCGTCAGGGAGCGTGTTGATGTCCACAGGTATCTGGAAACGGAATTATGCATACATAGAAACTTGTAAACACCCCTAGAATCGCCATGTTTTCCTCACAGGCAGGTTCTTGTTCCTTCTACCAGCTCTAGAAATTCAGCAGGGATACCCTTACTGAGGCAAGAAAGAGAAGTACCGTATTTTTTGCTCTATAAGACTCACTTTTTCCCTCCTAAAAAGCAAGGGGGAATGTGTGTGCGTCTTACGAAGCGAATGCAGGCTGCGCAGCTATCCCCGAAGCCAGAGCAGTAAGAGGGATCGCTGCTTTCGCTGCGCAGCGATCCCTCTTGCTGTTTTGGCTTCTGAGATTCAGAATATTTTTTTTCTTGTTTTCCTCCTCCAAAAACTAGGTGCGTCTTATGGTCTGGTGCGTCTTATAGAGCAAAAAATAAGGTATTTAATGCCTGCTGCTTCAAATGTTAAGTCTGCAGCTTGTGGAAAAGACATTGAGAAATCCCTTTAGAAACCAAAAGACTATTCTATTATTAAGTTACTAGTCCTGGTGCGCAATCAATTCAGCCCCCTCATGGATGGTCAGGATCAATGCCTGTGGTTTTCAAACTGTATAAAGCTTATTGGACGCATACGGTAGATGATCTGCAACGGTCAAAATGTTTTCCTTGAACGGAGTTCACACACCTCTAGTGATCGCCTCTTGCAGTGTGTGAAGATGTGTCCTGGTGTCTGGACTTTATTGACTCTTAATTTTTATTTATCACACAATTCAGTTTCGTTTGTGATATATAGTTATGTTTTGCTCTTATCTAGTTTTGAGGAATTTTAACAGAATTTTTTATTATTGTTTTTATGTAAAATGCTTAGAGGTTTTTTTTTATATTAAGTGGTATACTTTTAAATAAATAACTCTCAAAGATTTACATACAATAATTGTAACGGCCCCATAAATCTGACGACTTTCCTGCCCTAATGGAACCTTACTGCTGATACGAGTGGTAAACTTGTGTCTGGACTGTTCAGAATGCTGGTGGGAGGAATCAAATGGCTTAATGTTCAGGTAAAAATAATTTCCTACACATAAGAAAAAAACTAGCATATCAGAAGGGGGGGGGGCAGAAACCTTCCCCTTGACATGCTGATTTTCTATGTGTGGGGAATTATTTTTGCATGGAGAAACCTACAGTACGAAGCGTTTACCCCCATAGTGGACATCCAATATATTTCAGGTCAAACAAAGGACCTTTTAGTCCTGGGATTCTTAAATGCATTTCGGGAATATTTATTTGCTGCTCTCTCAGACACCTGGAAGACCTTTTATTTCTCCAAGCAAAAAACTAAATTTGCCCAGACCTTTGGTAGGAGCTGAATTAATCTGCCAGTCATTTGTTTTCCTTATAGCTTACTGCCTATCTGTACCTTGCTGAATTGCAGTCACTTGTTTTTCTCTTGTGTTTTAATGCTTCTGTTTTGTGTACAGTCATACCTCATGTTACGTTCTTTCAGGTTACGTCCCGCGGCGACCCGGAAGTACCAGAAAGGGTTACTTCTGGGTTTCGCCGCTGCGGGTTGTGTTCTTTTCATGTTGCGAACGGGCCTCCGGAACGGATCCTGTTTGCAACCAGAGGTACCACTGGATGAATTTTATTATTACGGTCACAGACCAGTTCTGGCTCACTTACAATATCAGGAAAATCATAAAACACAACAGGAATACAGTGGTACCTCGGGTTAAGAACTTAATTCGTTCCGGAGGCCCGTTCTTAACCTGAAACTGTTCTTAACCTGAAGCACCACTTTAGCTAATGGGGCCTCCCACTGCCGCCGCACAATTTCTGTTCTCATCCTGAAGCGAAGTTCTTAACCCGAGGTACTATTTCTGGGTTAGCAGAGTCTGTAACCTGAAGTGTCTGTAACCTGAAGTGTCTGTAACCCGAGGTACCACTGTACATTGAGGTACCACTGTATATGGTGCCGCCTGCATACTGTTAAATGTTCTGCACGATAAGAGCAGGATGCTGTGCTTGATGGGCCATTGGCCTGATCCTGCTTCTTATGTTCTGGTTGCATTTAATGTTCTGTCCTGCCACGGTGTAACCTGCCCTGGGACCGTCCCATAAACAGTGGGACTATAAACTGAATGAATATTAAACAGCAACTCTAACCGAAAGGATCTGCCGTGGCTCCTTGTAACGGATATAGAACGTAGAACCATCAGGCCTGACCAGCAACACTGGATAGAGCCGGGCATACTTTTGCCGGGCCACGCAGGCGATGGATGTCCGGTTGGAGTTGGACTGCCTGGTGGATGTGTGGAGGCCAGAAGTCCTGGGAAGGAGTCCGGAGAAGGCCTCTAACCGCAAAGCCCTGAAACCGATTCAGAGAAGAACTTGTAAAATCCATGCAAAAATTGACACACAGATAGACCCTTTAAGAACACATATACATACCAGAAATAACAATATATATACCGTGTTTTTCGCTCTATAAGACGCACCAGACCACAAGACGCACCTAGTTTTTGGAGGAGGAAAACAAGAAAAAAAATATTCTGAATCTCAGAAGCCAGAACAGCACGAGGGATCGCTGCGCAGTGAAAGCAGCAATCCCTCTTGCTGTTCTGGCTTCTGGGATAGCTGCGCAGCCTGCATTCGCTCCATAAGACGCACACACATTTCCCCTTACTTTTTAGGAGGGGAAAAGTGAGTCTTACAGAGCAAAAAATACGGTATATATCTGAGCAGAACCCAACTCTGATAAGAAAAAGACTGTGATTTAGTAAACAGGCAGTTTGGCTTGGCCTCAAGGAGTAGCACCATAAGGAACATGAAATTTATATTGGCCGCAGATTTCAGCATCTCTGACGTCCCAGCTTTCATTTTAAAATGCAGTGAGTTGCTAGCTCTTAAGATTGCTAGTCCAGGTATCGGGAGGGTGTGTAGAAAGCCAGAAAAGATCATAATGCCAGCAAATACTGATGAAACGATAACAACAGAAAGGGTGGGTGGGTAGATGCCTCATTTATATAAGCTGTACTCTTCCCCCTTCCCTCTTTATTTATTTAATTAAATTTACTGCCATTCTGCAATTACAATATGAATATATATCTTACAGTATACGTATCTTACAAAACAGATGCAAGCAGACTTTGGATTTGGGGCTGCAGGGTGTCTTCGGATAGAATTTGGTACTTAAGGGTAAGACAAAGCTGTGTCAAGATTTAGTTCCTCTCTCCACTGAAAGCTGGCCTTCTGCAAGTTGTACTCATTCAGCCTCTCATGCGGGATTGTCATGAAGGTTACCGAAATAACAGTTTGGTTTCTTTTTTAAATGTACCTTGCAAAAATATATAAGCTACAATGTGAATTAATACCTAGCCCTGGGGTAGACTCTATCAGCTGGCAACCACCTGCCCTAACACAGCAGGGCTCAGAGTGGCTGGGGAAACCCAGCCAGATGGGTGGGGTATAAATAATAAAACTATTATTATTATTATTATTATTATTGAATGTGCTTTCCAGGCACCTGGCTGGCATTTTAAGGTGATGATTCAGTAACAAGAAAGGGAGCCAATTTCTATTCATATATATTAAAAGCCCTCAGAGTACACAGCTTTGAAGATTTAATCCTGGCTTTGAAGCTGGTTCAATACCTATCCGAATTCACTCTGTCTCACGTTTTGTTTGAAGTAACAGAGGAAAACAAACCTCAGCCTCTCCCCCCCCCCCCAAGAGGGCTCTTAGATCCTTGGATCAAACATGTGCAGATGAACTGCTGTTTTAGTCAGATTAACACCTGTGCAGCACTTAATTACTCTCTATTTATTATTTTATTTTTAAAATGTCCATACAGCCCTTCATCTGAGGAACACTGGGTGGTTTACAATATAAAAACACCAAAATACATACCGTAGCGATAAACAAAAAACAGTAAGGCCTCCGCACAGTTTTAAAGGCCATGGGTTGTTTAATTAGCCAAAGGCCTGGGAAAAGAGGAATGCTTTTGCCTGGCATATAAAGATATGTAGTGAAGGTGCCAGGCAAGCCTCTCTGAGGAGAGCATTCCGAAAAATGGGAGCCACCACAGAAAAGGCCTGTATTGCCACCCTCTGGAATTCTCATGGAGGCGCAGGAAGAAGGGCCTCAGATGATGCAGGTTGGTTCATAGCATAAGAAAAGCATAAGAACATAAGAAGTGCCCTGCTGTGTAAGGCCAGTGGCCCAGCTAATCCAGAATCTGCGAACCAGAAGCTCACAAGCAGGACCAGAGTGCAAAGAACACACTTCCCTCCTGCTGCTTCCGTGTGTTTCTGTGTGCTCACGGTGTCCTGTTGCACCAGAAGTGGTTTAGTCCTGCTGGCCACATGACCCGGAAAAGCTGTCTGTGGACAAACACCGGCTCCCTCAACCTGAAAGCGGATATGAGCACCGCATCCCATAGTCAAATCTGACTAGACCTAACCGTCCAGAAGTCCTTTTGTTAGAATTCCTGCTCCATGATTGCAGTCATGGGGTTTTTGTCTATCACATGACGGTATATGTTTTGACTCCACAGAGTGGGAAGTGACGGAGACAGGATGTTTGTGTTACTGTGTTCCGTGAAGTGGGACTATTGTCCTTTGTTCTTTTTCTCTTTGCTGTCTGATGCTAGAGAGAAAGGAAGCCATACTGCAGTGCTCCGTGTGTGTTTATATGTAAATAAAGTAGATTAGCCAAAACGCTGAGTTGCTGAGGTCTGTTACACAACTGTGAAGACTCTGAAGATCCCTAAGTGTGCTGGTGTCGGTTGGCATTGGTTGCTGCGATGTTTGGGCTGAAGAAAGCTTTTGAAGCTCCCGAACGATTGACCAGGAGGGAGAGAACATGCCAGTCGGGCATGTGTCTCTGCCAGGGTCCTACTCGAGTGTAGGCTGAGCTCCTGACTTCAGAAGCATGCATGAGATTGCAGGCTTACTCTTGATCTGCTGAAAAACAATGCAATGTACCTTCATGGAATATGTACAAGAACGGAAAAAGAACTGTGGAAAAGGGCCATATCAGTTCTAGATCCTGGACAGCACAAGGCACAATGATCCCACTAAATAAACAGAGTTGTACCTTAAAGTCCGGATTACGGTCGTCATTCTGAGCTCATGTACAGTCCCTGAAGCCTGGCAAACAAACGCCAAACTCCAGCGATTCCGAGGCACAGGATTTGGCTTTTATGATGAGCAAAGACCGCAATGATCTTTACGGAGCATCATCCAAGGGGCCACAGCTGCTCTTTATGGAAACGAATGAAGGGAGAAAAGTTTATTCTTATTTGACAAGTTTATATATCGCTTAATTGATAAAAATATGAATCCAAGTAGGAAGGCAATATAAAATACTTATTAAATATAGTGGTACCTCGGGTTAAGTACTTCATTCATTCCGGAGGTCCGTTCTTAACCTGAAACTGTTCTTAACCTGAAGCACCACTTTAGCTAATGGGGCCTCAATTGGCTAATGGATTTAGCTAATAGAGCACGATTTCTGTTCTCATCCTGAAGCAAAGTTCTTAACCCGAGGCACTATTTCTGGGTTAGCGGAGTCTGTAACCTGAAGCGTATGTAACCTGAAGTGTATGTAACCCGAGGTACCACTGTATATAGATTTAGCAGAGATGGCTAAAAAGAGACAATCTAGAACAGATAGCAGTAAACATCTGAACAACAGGTGTGTGCTTAAGGTGGGAGGAAATATCTAGCATGTGGCCTCCCATCAAAACCATCGTGTTTTGGAAGTAGGTGTTCCAAAAGCATCTGATCCAACAAGAAAGTTCTTATGCTGTTAGCAATTAAGATACTTTTGGTCTTCTCACAGTGCTTTGGAAACACAGCCTAGGTGCCTTCCAAATGCCCAGCACTTCCCCCTTCAAAGCCTGGGTGGGGTTTTCCTCCTGGATCGAGGGATGGAAGTACTGTATTTTTTGCTCCATAAGACACGCTTTTTTCTTCCTAAAAAGTAAGGGGAAATGTCTGTGCGTCTTATGGAGTGAATGCATGGTCCCTGGAACCGAATTGCCCAGGGGCAAAAAGCAAATCGTGTTTGGTTTTTTTTAGAGAGAAGGGGGTGTTGAAGCAAAGCTGCTGAGCAGCTGATCGGCAAGCGATCAGGAGGGAGATAAGGGACTCTAGCGATAAAGGAGGCTGCCTGGGAGGGGGGAGGTAAAGACAGCGAACTTGCAAGGAGAGGAGACAGGAATACTAAAACAAGCAATGAGGAGAGAAATTAGAAGAAAAGGAGGAGCAAAAAACTGCTCCAGCTAAGGAAAAGACACTAAGGCAAACAAGAGGGAAGGGGGTGTTGAAACAAAGCCTCTGAGCAGCTGATCGGCAAGCAATCTGGAGGGAGATAAGGGACTCTAGAGAAAAAGGAGGCTGCCTGGGAGGGGGGAGGTAAAAGCACATGGATCCTCAGGATTTTTGCATTGGGTCACCCCAAATTCACCATCAGATCACATAGCATGTCCATGGCTACAGCCTGCACCAAAAAAACCATGCACCCACTGTTGCGCGGGGCCGCAATGCTGCAAAAACGTGGTTACAAAGCACGGATCCACATGGATCCTCAGGATTTTTGCATTGGGCTACCCCAAACTCACCGTCAAATCACATGTCTGTGGCCACAGCATGAACCACAAAAACCACACATCCACTGTTTTGTCCAGAGTATTTTTTTTCTTGTTTTCCTCCTAAAAACTAGGTGCGTCTTATGGAGCGAAAAATACGGTCTTTGCAGAGACAGAGCGTGCAGCTGCCACTGCAAGTGCTTGCAACGACTGGAGCTTGAATCACAGAATTGTAGAATTGGAAGGAATCCCCCCTACCCAGGGTCATTCAGCCCAACCCCCTGCGATGCAGGTACAATAGATAGAATAGGCAGAGACACATACAGTAAATGCACACTACTGGAGAGGGGAAATGCAGGAAAAGGAGACGAGACGTCAGAATCGGGTCAGATATCAAACAAGACCATGCCTCCCCCCACTCCACAAATGGTTTGGCCCTCGGAACCCCCCTGCTTCGCGGTAGTGGTTCGCCCCCAATCTCAACTGCTTCCCTCCCCCCCATTAGGTCCAACAATGGTTTAGCCCTGCTCTCCCCGCGCCTCCGCCTGCAGATGGTTCGATCCTCGCCGTTTCCCAGACTTGCCTTCGCGCGCCTCTCTCCTCACCAAAACCACGGCTCCCTCTTTCTGAATGGTTTGACCTATTGATACTTTAACACCCCCCCCGCTACTCTGTCCCCAATGGATTGCTCCTCCTTACCGGCTCCGAAGAGTCCCGCTCACGTGATCTGCCGCTCTGGGAACGCTTCATTTTCTTGCGTCATCACCCAGCGACATCGAGAAACAAGGAGGGCGGCGGCGCGGCGATGACGTAAGCGAGCTCCGAGTAAAGGGGCGGGGTTTGTTCTCGGCGGCGGCGGCCGGGCCCGGCCCTGCCCCGGCCCGCCCTCCTTGAGTCACCATTCGGGGGAAACGGCTCCGCTCCCTCTCCCCATGCGCTGGCGGCGCTTCCTCTGCCGCGCGCTGTCAGGTGAGTGCGGCGCGCGGTTTTCGGCCTCCCCCTCCCCCCCGCACGCGCCCCAACCGTTGTCCTCAGCGGTGTTTCACCGAAAGCTTCCCCCCCTGCTCCCGCGACCCTTCGCCTTGGTTCCTCCCTCCCCGCTCCCGCTCCCCGCGCTTCGCGGGCGTCGCCCCTCAAGCTGCCTCTTCTCCCCTCTTCAAAGCCTCCTTGGTGTCGGGGTCGCTTGACCGGCTGGGCCTCGCTGTCGGGCGCTCCCATCCCTTTTCACCGCCGGTGTCACCCCTAAAGAGTTCCCCGCCCGCCTTCCTCCTTGCGGTCCTCTTTGGAGAGCTCCGCGCGGCTGCTCCCGCCGCTTTCCTGCCCCTGCAAGGACTTGGCTGCTGCAAAGAAACCCTGATCCTCTCCCTGCCTTTGCACGATCACTTTCAACACCTCTTCTCCCTCCACCACCGTGTGTTGTTATCATTCCTTTCATTTCTGCACCGCTTTCTATTCTTAAGGGGGAAAAAAACGCTTTTTTGCAGCTTACATTAAATCATCAAATAAAACAACCCAGAATAAAAACGTTACTGAAGAAAGTCAAGTGCAGTATCCATTCGAAGCAACATAATTAACAGGAAACTTAAGATATCTTAAATATTTCAAAATAAAACATTGCAAAATGCACGTTTTAAACCGCATACTTAGCAAGAGGATTCAGGGGTGAGGGTGCCTATGCCTGCTAGCGTTTTGCCCGGTGAGCCAATGTCACTCCTGGTTTTAGAGTTGTTCAAATCAGCCGCAAGATTTTCCCGTGCAAACCATCACTTAAAAACAGAATTAAAGTGGTAATTAAATATTTGAAATAACAGACCAAGGGATAGACTTCCTTGTCAAATCTGCTCCTTGGCATGACGTTGCATCTCCTTGCCCTTAATACTATTCAGGGAGCAAAGAAGAGTTGTGATGAATTGGTTTATATTTATGGCAGCAGGATTTGGAAGTAATACACTTCTTGGGATAGAAGCTGGAGGCATGGACTTTCTGCCCCTGACAGCTTTCGGAATGGTCTTGGTTACTGGTCAGAGTTTTGAACTTAATTAAAGAAGAAGAAGCAATCTGCCTTCCTTGGGTGTTACCAATCTTCAAGTTTGTGCTATATTCAGAGGAATTATTGTGTACTTGGTTTCTCCTTAAACAGAAGTTCTGCTATGTATAGCACAAATAATGAAAATGAAACTTCTAAGGGGTGTGGAAGTAACAGGATCCAGTCTACAAAATTGGCATGTGCTCAAAGTAACTCATAATAAACTGGATCCTGGAAGGAAATAACAAAGCTAACAAAACCAAAAGCCTCCCCCCCCCAGAGGTGAATCTGCATATTAATTAGTACTTCTGAAGTTTTGTGCATCTGCAGTTATCTTCAAGAAATCACATAGAGTTTAGAATACTTAGTGCCCATTTCAAACTTAACTGAGTGAAGCATCTTATGCATGCCGTTGGTGGTTAATACTCACATGTCTGGTGATTTGAGCAGGATGACTTTTATTTCCATATAACTCTCCATTAAGCACTGCACGAAAACAACTGAAGCAGGAAATGTCCAATTACCACTGCCCTCTGCTGGGAATACACACGGCCTGCTCCCTTAGTAGCTAGTTCATAGCTTATAAACATGTGCAGCCTTTGTAAGCTGGAACAAATTTATTACTAGAGCCTTGGCTGTGTGCCACTGGGAGCTACTTCAAGTAGAAAAACAGACAAGTTTTCACTCCTTCTTAATTTACTTAAATGTGTAGTCTTCACTGTCCTGATCTTTACACGACTTTAAAACACTTAACAGTTTTGTGTATAACTAGAGAACTGATTATTTGGCTGTTTGCTTCAAATTGGTATAGAGTTAGCTCTCATCTCTCAGTTCCTTTGCTTCCCTCATTCTCAGCCCTCCTGTCTGCCAGGGATATAACTAATCATGTATGACTTATGAATCTTCACACTGCACCATTTGGCTTTTGGGGTTCCTGACCATTTAGCTTTCTAAGATCTTGAAGCCTTACCCTTCATGTGTGTGTTTTTTCCTCCAGCCAGGCTTCCTTTTCTTCACTTACATCAGATGTGAAGCATTCCATAACTGATTATTGCCTCCTCTCTTCACAGTTGGAATGTTTGTGAATATTCCATTATGGCACTGTAACTCAGCTAGTGGCTGAGATTGAAGATGAAAGAGAAAAGCTGGCAGAAAGGCAATAAGATAGATTTCTAGCCAGATGTGTCAGTAATAATGACTAGACATCTGCATATCCACATACCAGGGGCAACTGAGTCCAGCACCACACAGAGTGTTACTGGGGGTTGTCATTTCCACTGTCCACTGCAGTTTTTGAGCAGGTAATAAATGGCCAGGGTCCTTTCTGAGCAGCAGGATAGACTCCTGTTGTGTCTTGCTTCTTCCATACCTTTTACCAACGAAAGATCTCCCAAAGAACTGAGAGTCTCCTGTCTTCCATGTCTTCCATTCATCAGGATTTGGTTTGTCTTCTCACCTGTGTTTGGATAACTAAATTTAGGCAGCCAGTTATGGAAACGTCCAGCAGTGTTCTTGAGTGGCTTAGCTGTGAGGTGACAGGAAGAGATTATTGCTTGCTGTGGAGGGAGCATCTGATTGCAAAAGCATCTCTTGGATTTGTTGGCCAGTATGAATACATAAGCATGACACCTTCTTATGCATTGTAAGTTTAAAACCATGGAATTTATCCTTTTTGCCATGTTTTGCCTTCACCTTTTCAAGCTTTCCTTAGGAAGCCATGAAGACTAGAAACCTACTGCTTCAAACCAGGGTGGGGGGAGATCTAAAGAATCTTTCCTAGATGGAGGATAGAGAGGAATGTGTATAGGAAGTAGCCAATTATACCAAGCCTGGATAACTCAGTGGATTAGAGCGTGGTGCTGATAACGCCAAGGTTGCAGGTTTGATCCCCATATGGAACAGTTTCATATTCCTTCATTTCAGGGGCTTGGACTAGATCAGGCTTCCTCAACCTTGGCCCTCCAGATGTTTCGAGACTACAATTCCCATCATTCCTGACCACTGATCCTGCTAGCTAGGGATCATGGGAGTTGTAGGCCAAAACATCTGGAGGGCCGAGGTTGAGAAAGCCTGGACTAGATGATCCTCAGGATCCCTTCCAACTCTACAGTTCTATGATGCACTTGCTGCCACACCCATTCCTGCCTCTGGTCTATCCCACTACTCGCATGTGCCCACTCCAGGCCTGTACAGAGCTTGTCTGAAGCTTGGGGCAGGAGTCCCTGGTTGGCTGGGAGACACGGGGCATTCTTGGCAAGGCAGCATAAGTCCGTCAGGCCCCTGGCAGGGTTCCCCAGCTGGCTTAGCCCTCTACAGGCCACAGCAAGTGCACCCGGCTGCTACTGTTAAGCATTTGTGAGTTGGAAATCCTTGCTGAAATCATACAGAGATATACCAGTAGATGCAGGCCTTCCTGCAGTTATTCACAGGCCTGATTCTGATGCACTGTTTTCCTGTTACAAGATCAAAGAGGAGCAAAGTCCTTTAGAAGGCCAGTGGTGGCCTGTTGCAAATTGAGTTTCAGAATAACCATTGGTTTCTTACTCTTCTTGTCGTTTGGCTTTAACCTTTCAACCAGCGAATATGCTTTTTTGCTGCCCTTTGGTCCCACGTTATGAAATTCTGGGGAAGGTGCACTTTACAAAAAGGACAAGGCTATAAATAGGACCGGTGATTAAAAGTGCCTAATCACGCAACCTCTCTTGAGGCTAGAATGAGAACCACCCTCTAATCTTCTTTTCTCCCAATGCCAAGCTGCTCCGTCTTTTCTTCCTCTAAGCTTGCGTGATGCCCAGAACGTGCTTTGTTGATCTCTTTCTATGTTTATATTTTGCCTTCTTTGCTGTCCTTCCAGTGTAATCTGTGAGGAAGGCCGGAACTTGGTGGTAGAACATCTGCCTTGCATGCAGAAGGTCTCAGATTCACTTCCAGCTTTTCCAGGTAGGGCTGGAAGAGACCTGTGCCTGAAACTCTGCCTGTCAGTGTAGACAGTATTGAGCCAGATGGCTCAATTTTGCAATCTCCACCCAAAATTCTTGCTATCTTCCCATCCATTTCCCCTTTCTCTGTGACACTTCCTAGAACATATGCAGAAATGTGGGTCTTAGAAGCAGCTTGGATGAATTTATTCAGTCTGCATTGTGCTGGACTTGCGGCAGGGAAGCATCCTACGCTGGTTATCTGCAAAAATTCTGACCTCTTGGCAGTGGAATGCTCGGGAGTCCAGCTTCTGTGGGAAAGGGTGGTTGTCACTTTGGCTGTGGAGAAAATCTTCTGCACATCTGATTGGGAAGGTTGCCATAGATAAAAAGTTGTTGAGCTTTCTTTTCTTTTCTTTTTTTTGCAAAATCTCAAGATGGCTCCTTCAGTTGTGCAGGGCTTTTCAGGTGCACAGAGGGCCTCAGATGCCCAGCACAACTGTTGGGAATTGTGACTATTATTATTCCATTTATATCCCACCATTCCTCCAAAGAACTCAAGGTGGCGCACAAGGCGCTCCCACTCTCCATTTGATCTTCACAACAACCCCGTAAGGTAGGTTAATAATAATAATAATAATAATAATGATGTGTTACTGTCATTCCTCAGGGACAACAAAGTACTGACTGCTCCATAAAAGCACTAATTAATCAATGCAGTATAATACAGCCAGGAGATTAGATGACTCTCAAAGTCCAGGCTTCCCATTCAGGGCCGAGATCGCTCTGGAGAAGGCTGTTCCTAAGACAGCACTGCGTCTTGTCTTCATCGTCCTGTATCTCCGATCCCGACAGCAAGAGCTCGAAGAGACAGTGACTAGGATGCGATGGATCTTTTACTATGTCCAGTGCCTTCCTATGGCACCTTGTGGCATAAATCTGCTCTAAGGATGAATGAGTGGACAGCCAACAATGCTCTCTGATTCCTTAACAACCCTTCACAACCCCATCCTTTCCTGGGTAGTACAGCTTCAGTACCACACACATAAGCCATAAGTGAGCACGCTCTCAATGGCACAGTGATAGAAGGCAAGCAGCAGTTTCTGCGGAAGATGGTTTTCCTTAGTATTCTCAAAAAGTACAGTCTCTGCTGCGCCTTCTTCACAAGCCCCCTTGTGTTGACACTCCAGGACAGATCCTCTTGTAATTCAATGCCCAAAAATCTGAACGTTGTTGCTGAGAAAGAGTGACTGACCCAAGGACACCCAGAGAGCTTCATGGCTAAGTATGGATTGGAACCCTGATCTCTCAGGTCCAGCACTCTTAACTACCACCCTATGGTGTCCAACACAGCACTGCACATTTATTTGTATATTATCTCTGATCCTGAAGATGGAGAGGAGGGCTGGGGCTTGTTTTCCATGGTGCTTAAGACTAATCTTCTGGTGCGTTTCTAGAATGCTTCTCTACCTCACAGGGTGCAGGATAGAGCAAGAGACTGCCTTTGGCCTTGTGCTGCGTTTTGGAGACACAGCATGAGATCTCCCTGTACCTAGAAAGCAAGCGCATCTGGCGAAGGGCTGGAACAGAACCTTTCTCCCTGCTGTGCTAGATTTCTGTTTCTCAGGGAATTGGTTATGTTTTCATTGTTGCTGCTTTTAAATGTGGAGGAGAGTTTAAAATTACAGTTCTTCCACCTTCATTCTGAAGTGTTGCAGTCAATTCTATCGTCTCTGACTTTCCTCAGTAGCCAAAACAGGGATGACAGTGTATTGAGGGGCAGGGACCCCAGGACATTGAGGCTGTCTTGTCCCTGATAAATAAGGACAGTTGAGCAGTATGTAAGTAGCACCCTTGTGGGTACCGTTTCTCACTTGTGATTCTAAATGAATGCAGTGTTTATTGTAGGTTGGTGTGTGTGTGTTTAAGTCAATGCTTTGTGCTCTTCATCTACTGCTTTCCCTTGGCTGTGGAAAAAGTGGGGTGGAAATATTATAAATAATTTGACAAATATGCATTCAATTAAAACTCCTTTCTGAGGGCAGCATTTGCTTTGAAGCAGAAGGTACGCTCCACGGAGTTAAGCTCAGGGTGTGGCTGAATCTTCTAAGCTATGTAAAGCAGGAGGAGGGAGTGTGGAGGAAACCACAGGAGGTGATTAGGGATTTGGGGGGCGGTGGCTTCTCATTGGCTGTCTCAAGGTGAAAGATCTGGAAATTAGTAAGACTTTAGGCGCTCACAGATAGACAGGTGCTCTACCTGCGCTGCCCTTTCCCTGTGTTGTCAGGATCGGTTTGTTAGGCACTCAAAAAAAAGAACAGCAAAAGCCTATCAGGGAATTTTAGGAGGACCCCAGAAAAGCAAAAAGGTAAGATGTGAGAAAACTCTGGGAGTGCTGGCGTGGTGTGGATGTCTGCAGCTGCTACCCAAAAAATAGCAGCAACGCTTTGCATCTGACTCACTTTCATTCACCTTTGTCTGGCTTCTGAGTAAAGGGCCAATTTGAAGTTTAAAAGACAGAATTCTTTAAAAAAAAAAAAAAATCCAGGATGATGGGGGTTCAGACAAGTGCTTCCTCTTTCCTATAGCTTTGATCTCAAGCGACAAAAAGATTGAGGATGTGGAGGATACCCTTTAAGAGGAATTGCTAACGCATTTGCTTGTGGGTTAGACAAAATTAGGAAAGATTACCCAGGAAAGGATATGACAGAGGTCTATAAAAGTATGTTTGGTGTGGTAAAATGGGATCGAGAAAAGCTCTGGCTGGCTGATGGGAACTGTAGTCCAAAATATCCGGAGGCCACCAGGTTGGGAAAGACTGTGTTAAAACAGATATTCCATATTGTGGTAGCTGTTAAGCCTTAGTTCTGTTTGCTGAATGTTGTTTGTGGGGAGGTTGTCTTTCTGTTCTGAAAGCGTTAGGACAGCTGCGTGCAGTTAAATGCATATTAAAGTGCAGCAAATGGGTGAAAAGGCAGATAACGCCTCTTTCTTTGCGACAGTGGGAAGAGAGTTAACGTGCAAAGGGTGTGCTCTGATACAGGGCAGAGTCCCACTCTGGTTTTGTGCAGTCTGTATTCGAAGCCCCCATCCCCTCTAATGCCCCAATCTGAATTTTGTGCTTAGGAAAGTGACATTCTGCTATAAGAGTATATTGTGCCTGTTACTTAATGTTGCCATGTTCTGCTTCCAGGTTGCAAGCTATAAAAATATAGAGAGAGGGGTAACTGTGCTAGCCTGCTGTCGCAAAAGCAACAGAGTTTTGTGGTGCCTTAAGGACTAACAGATTTTATTGCGGCATATGCTGGTCTTGAATCCATGAAAGCTTGCGTTGTAATAAATTTGTTAAGACTTTATGGTGTAATGAGGCTCGTAGTAATACCTGTACAATGAGAGATGTGCTCATACAGCAGTTTAAGAAAACTGGTTGGCAAAAAGCCCAATCCCATTTTTCATTCGGGTTGTGTACATGTATCTAAAGCACATCGCACACATCCTGGGGACCGTAGTTTACCACGACAGTGCCAAGTCCAGCTCCATTTACAAACCACAGTTCCCATGATGGCTTGTCAGGGGAATATATTTAACATTGCTTTAAAATTATGGCAAACGTGCAGTTTCCCAAGGGAAAGCTCTCCTGGCCTCATCCTCCAGCTACAATATGTATTAGGTTAATGATGCTAACCTACCTCACAGGGTGGTTGTTAAGGTATCAAGTTGGAATATGCTGCCCAACACAGGGGCTCCTTTGGGAGGAAGAGTGGGATATAGATGCAATCTAGAATTTCGTGTTCAAAGGCTCAATTTATCCACAGTGTTGAGAGCCAGTGTGGTGTAGTGGTTATGAGCAGTAGTCTCGTAATCTGGTGAACCGGGTTCGCGTCTCCGCTCCTCCGCATGCAGCTGCTGGGTCACCTTGGGCTAGTTACACTTCTCTGAAGTCTCTCAGCCCCACTCACCTCACAGAGTGCTTGTTGTAGGGGAGGAAGGGAACGGAGAATGTTAGCCGCTTTGAGACTCCTTCAGGTAGTGATAAAGCGGGATATCAAATCCAAACTCTTCTTTTTCTACTACTCCCGATGGCGCATTCTTCCATTGTCTCTTGAGACAGACTGATTCCAACAAAATGAGTGGCCTTGGGCAAATCCTTTGCCTGAGCCTTAGCTTCCCATCTGTATAAAGGTAAAGGTAAAGGTACCCCTGACCATTAGGTCCAGTCATGGACGACTCTGGGGTTGCGCGCTCATCTCGCTAATGGTACTAATAATCTGTTTCACAGGAGTTTTGTAGTGAAGTGAGGTGGTGGCAATAAAGCCTTGGAAATGCTAGATAAAAATATCCAGTTTGTTCGCAAGGCAGAAAGCAGCACTGTGAGGTTGTTGTTTTTTTGCTTTCCGACTTCGGCTTTGCATGGGGAATGCGCTGGACGGGCATTCTTTATGGATGAATCGTTCAGGCTAATGCACTTTGACTTTAAGCTCCATCAGCTAAGCTATAGCTCTTGGGACATCTGTGTTTCCTTTAGAAATGCACCAGGTAAGCAAAGGGCTGTAGAGCATGGATGGGTAGTACAATGGCAAATTAAGAGCATGAGCACAGTCTATATATGCTCAGTTGTTTGGCCCCTGGGTACCACCAGTTGTGGGGGGATCATGTCTGCATCTTGCTAGCTTAGAATGACAGATGAGATAGGCCTTTGGTCTGATGCAGCAGCCGGGCTCTTATGTGCTTGAGCTCCTATGATTTTCTGACTGAGAGTTGCCTTGTGAAATGAGTTGTATGTGTGTGTGAGAGAGAGCAAGACCATCTCACCTCTTCTCCAGGCCCTACCCTTGGCTGTGTTTCACCAGATGCTAACTGTTCTGGTCAGAACACACCTCTCAGTCTCCCATGTCTCTATGCTTCCACCCTCCCCTTTTTGCTCCTGCCCTGAATATGAAATTTGGTGGTTGCTAAGCATGAGAATAGGTCTGAGGGGAGGGCAGGGGTTGGAGTACTGGCTGCTGAGGTCCCAAAGGCACTGGTGGGCTCTCCAACGCCTGGATAACATGTGGAAATTCCCCAGAGCAGTTCCTAGGGAGATGGCTTCCAAAAAAATAGAGCTTCAAACATTGAAAGCTTCTCAAAACAGATGTCCACAGAAAATTATATAGTTGTTTAACTCTTTGACATCTCTGAGGAGAGGACATTCCACAGGGTGGGCGCCACTACCGAGAAGGCCCTCTGCCTGGTTCCCTGCATCTTCACTTCTCACAGTGAGGGAACCACCAGAAAGCCCTCAGAGCTGAACTTCAGTGTCCAGGCTTAATGACTAGGTAGGGACGCTCCTTCAGGTATATAGGGCCGAGGCTGTTTAGGCCTTTAAAGGTCAACACTAACACTTTGAATTGTGCTTGGAAACATACGGGGAGCCAAAGTGTTATATGGTCCCAGCGGCTGCTCCCAATCACCAGTCTGGCAGCTGCGTTCTGGATTAGTTGTAGCTTCCGAGTCACCTTCAAAGGTAGCCCCACGCAGAGCGCATTATAATCCCACATTTCTACATAATCATTCGGGGAGGCTACAGGAATACATAAGAAGGTAAGAAGAGCCTGCAGGATCAGGCCAATGGCCCACCTAGTCCAGCATCCTTTTCTCACAATGGCCAACCAAGATGCCTTTAGGAAACCACGAGCACATGAGCGCTGTCCCTTCCTGTGGTTTCCAGCAACTGCTATTCAGAAGCATTGCTGCCTCTGACCACGGAGACAGCTTAGCCATTATGGCTGATAGCCTTTTCCACCAGGAATTTGTCCAGTCCTCTTTTAAAGCCATCCAAGATGGTGGCCATTGCCTAGTTCCCTAGTTTATTGGCTGTGTGAAGAAGGAATTTTCTGTCCTGGATCTTTTAACATTAAGCTTCCTTGGATGTCCTCGAGTTCTAGTGTTATGCATCCATAAGCAATCTCCCAAGTAACAGAAAGCATACATTTCTAATGATGAAACAACTTTCCCCCAGTTATGACGGGACCAAGGCCAGTTGTCCTGAGCGGGCCGTCCGGTGCGGGGAAAAGCACTCTGCTGAAGAAACTCCTGAAGGATTATGAGAACGTCTTCGGCTTCAGCGTCTCCCGTGAGTGAGTTCATTTCTGCTGGGCTGGTGGTGAAGCAGTGTGTTCGCATCAGGGTTGTCACAAGGAAGGCTGGCAGGTCCTTGAGCTTTGCCCCCTAAATTAGGTAAAGGTAAAGGGACCCCTGACCATTAGGTCCCATCGTGGCCGACTCTGGGGTTGCGGCGCTCATCTGGCTTTATTGGCCGAGGGAGCCGGCGTACAGCTTCCAGGTCATGTGGCCAGCATGACTAAGCCGCTTCTGGAGAACCAGAGCAGCGCACGGAAACGCCGTTTACCTTCCCGCCGGAGTGGTACCTATTTATCTATTTGCACTTTGATGAGCTTTCGAACTGCTAGGTTGGCAGGAGCAGGGACCGAGCAATGGGAGCTCACCCCGTCGCGGGGAATCGAACTGCTGACCTTCTGATCGGCAAGTCTTTGTGGTTTAACCCACAGCGCCACCTGCGTCCCTGCCCCCTAAATTAAGCCAGCGCTTATTATGATTAATATTAAGGTAATTTATATACCGCTTTGTGCTTCAGAGGAAGCTTCTCTAACCCCTCCAAAGCAGGAATTGCAGCTAAAGAATCCCCGACAGATGGCCATCCAACCTCTGTTTAAAAATCTCCGATGAAAAGAGCCCACCGCCTTCTCCTTTGAAGCTCTCTTGCCTGTTTATCTGCTTTTAAAAGTAGGGCAGAGGAACTAGCAACATTAGTCCCTTGGCTTGGCTGTTTGTATTTTTAAAAGAAGTCAAAGCCTCCAGTTAAACAGAGAAGGCTCTTTCGATCATTGCAGGGGCCAGAGAGGGAGAAGCACGTTCCTTTCTTTTTGGGTTTCCCAACCACTTGACAAAACATGCAACGTGTGTTAATGGTGCGTTTTAAAAATATTTATTGCTTGCAGATACCACAAGGCAACCAAGACCCGGAGAAGTGAACGGAAAAGGTCAGTGCCCAGCTCCTAGCCACCACCGTCACAGGAGATGGGAGATTAGCTAAAGTGTTTCTCTAACGAAACAACTGGTTCTAGGCTAGTTAGGGGTGGGACTGGATGGGTTTAGGCCTACCAGAGGTTGTTCGACTCCATCTCCCATCAGCACCAGCCAGCATGGCAAAGGATGATGGGAGTTGTAGTCCAGCAACATTTGCTTAGTTAGGGGTGGATATGTTGGTGAGTGCATGGATGCACTGTTAGGTGTTTGTAGTGTATCTTTGGAACACTTTGGGGTCAGTATTAGAAACTCAGATATATAGTTCAATCACCAAATGGCACCTTAAACCTAGGTTGCGGGTGCCACAATGGAAGGTCTAGGTGCCATTTCCCCCCCTCACCATGGGATGATGATGATGATGATTTTCATGTCTATACCACTTTATATTTCAGAGAACAAATCTCAAAACGGTTTGCAACACATTGAAACCTCAAATAAAACAATTCAGAATAAAACAAATATGTTAGCTCCTTCTCTAAGTGACATTTTGCTTCCCCCACTCGCAAACCTGCCACCCACAGATCTCCATGTGGTCGCAATTGGACCCATGCCAGTCACAAAGTGCGCCTGGCTAATTTCTAACACTGCTTGGGGTGTGGCGTCTCTGGGGGCAGGCATGCATGCACTAACACAAAGGCATGTAGAAAGCTCATTTTCCTCTCCCCTCCTGCCCCGCAGATTACCATTTTGTGACCAGGGAAGAGATGCAGAAGCAAATTGACGCTGGAGGCTTCATTGAAAATGCAGAATTTTCTGGGAACATGTACGGAACAAGGTATGTGATTTGGGTGGGGCAGGAGCAGTTGTCAGATTTCGCTCTTCCGTTCTTCTTTGCTATCCTATTTTCAAATGCATTTCTGCAACCACAATGTCCGCTCCTTTATATTCTCTACACGTACGATTGTGTCGCTACTCACCCTAGTAATAGGGTTGTCAAATTTGCAGATGACACAACCGTGATTGGGCTCATCTCTGAAAGGGAGGGTGAAACGGATTATAGAGATGAGGTGGAGCGACTGACAGAGTGGTGCAGAGCTAACAACTTGCTCATAAATACAAGGAAGACAAAGGAGCTTGTGGTGGACTTCAGGAGACAGAAGAGCAACGTCCAGCCACTTTTGATTGATGGGGTCTGTGTGGAGAGGGTAACAATGTTCAGATTTTTGGGCATTGAATTACAAGAGGATCTGTCCTGGAGTGTCAACACAAGGGGGCTTGTGAAGAAGGCGCAGCAGAGACTGTACTTTTGAGAATACTAAGGAAAAACCATCTTCCGCAGAAACTGCTGCTTGCCTTCTATCACTGTGCCATTGAGAGCGTGCTCACTTATGGCTTATGTGTGTGGTACGGAAGCTGTACTACCCAGGACAGGATGGGGTTGTGCAGGGTTGTTAAGGCAGCAGAGAGCATTGTTGGCTGCCCACTCTCCACCTTAGAGCAGATTTATGCCACAAGGTGCCATAGGAAGGCACTGGACATAGTAAAGATCCATCGCATCCTGGTCACTGTCTCTTCGAGCTCTTGCCGTCGGGACGGAGATACAGGACGATGAAGACAAGAACGAGCCGTCTTAAGAACAGCTTCTTCTCCAGAGCGATCTCGGCCCTGAATGGGAAGCCCGGACTTTGAAAGTCATCTAATCTCCCTTGCTGTATTATACTGTATTGATTAATTAGTGTTTTTATGGAGCAGTCAAGTAATTTCGTTGTCCCCGAAGGGGGCAATGACAATAAAGATATTATTATTATTATTATTATTATTATTATTATTAGAAACAAAACAAGGAGCTATGAATTGCAACCAGAAAAAAGGATCCAAGTGTCCTGAACATAAACTCCCCCATTTCTGTTGCCTATTTTTCACATTCCTTGTGAAAGTAGCTTGTCTGGAGGGGCTCAATGAACCTTGTAACCAGTGTTTTTGTTGGACAAGATGGATATTCACAGCTTGTCCAAACTGATGGTGATGGGAATCTGATTGGCTTTGGAGACATCCCACATGCGTCAAATGCTGCGTCATGACTTGTCCCCAGTGGGTTGAGACAGAAAACAAAGATTAGGACCGGGAGCTGTGACAAAATCCCCCTGCCTGAAGCTCCACCCAAGGGTCATCTAATTTCTGAGAACCTTTACCAGCCTTCCCCAACTTGATGCCCACCAGATGTTTTGGACTACAACTCCCATCAGCCCCGGCGCAGCAAGATGGAGAAGGCTGCCCTGCACTGATGATGAAAAGAACCAGATTTAATTATTTGGAGCTAAAGCTTCAGAGTTCAACTAGTGTCATGAGAAGAAAGAGTAATCTGTGAACAGGGTCTGCCACCCATTACCCCACCTTCCGTATGTTTATTCCCTCACTACTACTTGTTGTTGTTGTTGCAGTTGCATTTATATCCCGCCATATTCTTCAAACAGCTCCTTCCCCGTCCCATTTAATCCCCACAAGAACCCTGTATAATGTATGTGAGGCTGGTCGTTGCAGCCAGATGACCTTGAGACTCTTACAGATGGTTGAAACACAGCGACGAGCTCAAGGTGCTGGTCCTCAAAGCCGCCTCTTTTGTTGCAAGACTGTTCTTGGGTTAAAAAAAGCACCTCCACTTTGTGAGCATTAACCACCTTCTCTCCCTCCCTCCCTCTCAGCAAAGCCGCTATTCAGGCTGTGCAAGCGCAGAACCAGATCTGCGTTTTGGACATAGACATGCAGGGTGTGAAGAACATCAAGAAAACTGACCTTAATCCCATCTACATCTCTGTCCAAGCCCCGTCCATAGAAGTCTTGGTGAGTGTGGCTTGGGGGTGAGCTACAGTTCTGTGAAACTGATACATGGTAGGGAGTCGGCAATAGGAAGCCCTCCAAACTGCAACTCCCACCATCTTTTAGTGTTGCCAATGCTGGCTGGGGCTGATGGGAGCTGGAGTCCAGCAGCATTTGGCAGGCACTGCAGTGGCGACCCCTGATGTGATGTGTGCACAGAGTTTTATATAGTAAAATAAGCAACAACAAAACAATTCCAAAATCCACATTTGGCCAGTACCTTTATTAGAGCCAGGCGAAACGTCACTAAATAGCAACTCGCTCTTGAGCTCCATAGAACTCTGCATCAGACTGAACGTTAAGGGAGAAAACCACTCAGTCTAATAGTAGGGCCGGCTCTGAATTCTGGTTTTATATCCTAATATGAATTCTGTAGTAGGGACGCAGGTGGCGCTGTGGTCTAAACCACAGAGCCTAGGGCTTGCTGATCAGAAGGTCGGCGGTTCGAATCCCCGCAACGGGGTGAGGTCCCGTTGCTTGGTCCCAGCTCCTCCCAAGCTAGCAGTTCAAAAGCACGTCAAAGTGCAAGTAGATAAATAGGTACCGCTCCGGCGGGAAGCGTGCGCTGCTCTGGTTACCAGAAGCGGCTTAGTCATGCTGGCCACATGACCCGGAAGCTGTATGCCGGCTCCCTCGGCCAGTAAAGCAAGATGAGCGCCGCAACCCCAGAATCGTCCGCGACTGAACCTAACGGTCAGGGTCCCTTTACCTTTTTATGAATTCTGTAAGAAAGACAAAATGTGGTGAGGGCGGCTGTCTTGGGGAGCTTTCATAGGCTGTTAAATTAATCCTCAGCAGGCTGATCCATCACTGATTTAAGACAGTGACTTCCTTGTCTGTGGGCTTCTAAAGACCACTGGACAGTGGAAGCCAACAATGGGGGAGTCTTCTGACTCTGTACTCTGTTTGCAAGCTTCCTGGAAGCACTGGGCAGGCCACTGCTGTAAACAGAAGGCAGGACCAAAGTGCTCCGTACGGGGCAGTAAATGCACTGTAGGGCATTTAAACAGCGGGTGCATGACACTGTTCCTTCCCTGCCTAAGACCTAGAGGGGTTTGTGCCAGCATGAAGCACTGGGAGGCGAGAAGAATGGGACCCACCCTGTTCATGTTGAGGGTATAAATTTTGTTCTCGTTTCTCCCCCTCTGGAAACCTTTAGGAAAAACGGTTACGGGACCGACAGACAGAAACGGAGGATAGTTTACAGAAGCGGCTGAACGCAGCTCGAATCGACATGGAACTTAGTGAGTACACTAGAGTTTTGCGTGCATGTGTGTTGTTGTTCTAGTCTGGTGTCCTGTTTGTGTGCTTCCCACCAGCGTCCGTGGTTGACCAATGTGGGAAATTGGATGCTGATCTAGATGGGCCTTTAGTCTGAACCAGTGGCGCTCATATAAGACGGAGAGAGATTGCAAGAGGGAGAGTAATGAAGGCATGAGGGTGGGGTTGAGCTGTGTTTGGTGGATAGGGGCCTGCCTCACCAATTGCTGCTTTTGTGCCCCAGATCCATCCCTCCCCTGTACATTTTTACGGGATCGGCTAGAGGGGAACGGGGGGTGCCTTGCAAGGGCTTAACATCTTAACACTGGTCCACCAGAAGTGGTTTGGAATTGTCTCACTAGGCAACAGCAGTGCTTTTCCTCAGGAAAATGCCAAACGGTGAAAGCAGTCCATGGCAGCTGGCTGCAAGAAGGCAGTCTCTGATTCACAAATAGGCAGAATCTATACTGCCCAGGGTCTGGGAAAAGGGCACTTCTGAGATGCTGGACTTGCTTAGTCACTCTTGTTATTGCATCTGGAAGGGAGCAAAGACAGAAGAGTGTCTGTGTGGGTCGCACGTCTCTGGTCTTCTAACTTCTGGTTTAACGGTGGGTGGGTGTGCATCTGTTTCAATTTGCCAGGTAAGGAGCCTGGGCTTTTCGACTTGATCATCATTAACAATGATTTGGAAGAAGCATATACCGAGCTGAAAAATATTCTTGCAGAGGTAAGCTATTTCACTTCCTGGGAACACAGTTCTCTGACTGAATTGCACGGATATTTCCTGGGTCATGGAATGATCCGTTTCCTTGTTTGTCGTCCGTGCATCTGATGAAATCGGCTACAGTCCTCTAAACCTTTTGTACATTTGTTAGGTATTTAAGGTGCCACAAGAGTCTCTTCTGTTTTAGCTGTCAGAGACAAACACTGCCTACTCCTTTGGAAAGGGTTTTCTTGTTGCAGCTCCTGGCTCACTTGCTTTAAAGTCCTGTGTGAGGTTCTCCACCCCATCACCAGCCAAACCAACATCCTTCCTCCTTCACAGTGGCTATTTTCTCTGCAGGGTTAGCTGCTTTTAGCTTGAAGCATGTGATGGCTGCAGTACTTTATGCTTCTCCCTATTTTATGTCCCTTGACCAAAGTGATAAAGGCATTTGAACACTTATTTTATTATTATTATTATTATTATTATTATTATTATTATTATTATTATTACTAAAATAAATCATACTGCCTATGCCTGCAAGTCTCAGGGCAGTATGCAATTTACAGCATAAAATCACAATATAAAAACACAAAATACATAATAAAAGTAAGAACAAGAACAGCCCAATTGTCCTGCTCCTCCCCAAACAATTTTTAAAAGGCATTGGATGTCAACCATCCCAAGGCCTAGTTGAAGAGGAACGTTTTTACCTGGCACCTAAAGATGTATAATGAAGGTGCCAGACAAACCTTTCTGGGGAGAGCATCCCACAAACGGGGAGCCACTGCAGAAAAGGCCCTGTTCTCCTGTTGCCACCCTCCGGACCTCTCATGGAGGAGGCACATGAGGAAAGTCCTCAGAAGATGATCACAGGGCCGGGGTAGTTTCATACAAATCACTGTGTAACCATTTCTTCTCGTTCTCCTCATAGGAAATCCAGAAGGCGCAGGGATCCAAGAAATCATGAATAGCCGCTGGAACCTTTGCAGACCATTCCTGAAGTCTTTTTGCTGCTTGTTCTTCTGTGTTAGAAACAGACACGCACACATTCCCTTTTAGCCTGATAATGGAATTCTTTTAGGGCACTTTCTATTAAAGAAGAAAATATCAAACCCAACCTTTGTGCGTTTTCATACTTCCCGTGTGTAATCTAGACAAGCTTCCAAGTCTGCAACATGAACCACTACTCTGAAAATAGTAGCAAAGATTGGTGTCCCACAATGACTGTGTTCTGCCTCCACTGTCAGAGGCATCAATGCTTCCGAATTCCCGTGGCCAGGAATCGCAATTGATCAGAATGCCCTTTCACTCAGGTCCAGCTTGCAGGCTTCCCAGAGGCATCTGTTTGGCCGCTGTGAGAGCAGGATACTGGACTTTCAGCAGCCAGAAACCCCATAACCAGACACTGGAGAGATCTGTCAGGAGTAAGCATGGACCAATGGTACCAAATAGTATGGGAAACAGCCCTACTAATAAAATTAACCAATAAACTGAAACTGACACGGGGACAAATAGAAGAAGACGCCTTCACCCCGGTATGGCTCCCCTTTATCACATGCACAGCCCAACAAGACAATGACAATAATCCACCAACAAATCAATATGGCTAACCTGATCCAAAACACCCACCCACCCCACTCGCACACGAAAACAAAGATCACCACAGCCAATCACAAACAAACAACCACACCCTAGGCCAACCCCAACCTCTCTCACCACCAAAGGAACACAAGTGAACAGAACAAGCAACGCTGACACCAAACCCCACATACATTAAGCATAATAGAAACATCCCCACCCGACCCCACCCCCATCCATCTTCCCTCTCTCCACACCCCCTTTCTTTTTTCCTTTTTTTCTTCTCCCCCTAATGCCTCAACAAATGAAACGGATTTGTAAAAATGTTACATGGAAAAAATATGAGAGACATTACACTTACTTCTGTAAAACAAGAAAATCTTTAATAATAATAAAAAGAATACTGGACCAGGTGGGCCACTGACCACCTGGTGCATCAGACTGGGTTTATGTTCTTACGTTTGTCCTTAACAGATTTTAGAGCAGAAAAGCTTTGCCTTGCCTGATCCAGGAAGTCACTTATGGGGTGGGCAGGCAATTTTGTGCTTAGACAACACTTGAGTCCTAACAAGCCAGTCATAAGAAGGCTGTTCCACATTGCAGGACAGGAGCTAAAAGGGAAATTCTGCTAATTGATCTATCAGCAAGTGCCATCAAACGCCGCCTCTTGTGCCAAGATCTCCTTGAAGTCGCCCCAGCTAAGTAAGTTATTTTTAGCAAACTTTGGACGCTTTCAGTGTCTTGCACTAATTGAAAACGACAGTTTCAGCACCAGAGTGATGCAGCAGAAAGGAAGAAGGAAGCCAGCTGGGGGTTGGCGTCTGACTCGACAGCCTTTCACTTTAGGTGCTGTGGGGAGGAAGGGGAGGCAGATGCCAATGTCCAAAATAGACGGGGAAGACCCAAGGGAGTGGGTGGCTGACGGCGCTGACCTCATCAGTGCTCAATTCCTGGAAGCCGCTTCCTCCTAATTCCAGATGCAACCTTGCAGTTGCTCTGCAGATGTTGAAAAGCAGCGGCTCTTCAGTTTCCCCACATCCACGGCTGAGCCTGTGGCTGCCCTGGTGTGATTCTAAACCCCCGTTTCCACGCTGCTGTTTTCAGTTGAAACCCAAGTGATCGCTGCCAGATCCAGACTTCAGTTTATACATTCAATCAACAGTTTATATACTCAAATCAACAGTGGGATGCAGCAGCAAAAAGGAAAGCTAACTCTAGGCAACAGCAAGAGAAGGATAGTGTCCAGATCAAGGGAAGGAATAAAAGTAAAGGGACCCCTGACCGTTAGGTCCAGCCGTGGATGACTCTGGCATTGCGGCGCTCATCTCACTTTACTGGCCAAGGGAGCTGGTGTACAGCTTCTGGGTCATCTGGCCAGCATGACTAAGCCACTTCTGGCGAACCAGAGCAGCACACGGAAACGCCGTTTACCTTCCCGCCGGAGCGGTACCTATTTATCTACTTGCACTTTGACGTGCTTTCGAACAGCTAGGTTGGCAGGAGCAGGGACCGAGCAACGGGAGCTCACCCCGTCGCGGGGATTCGAACCACCGACCTTCTGATCGGCAAGCCCTAGGCTCTGTGGTTTAACCCACAGCGCCACCTGCGTCCCTAAGGGAAGGAATAGTCCCACTCTATTCTGCCTTGGTCAAGCCACACCTGGAATATTGTGTCCAGTTCTGGATACCACAATTTAAGGAGGATATTGAGAATCTGGAATGTGCGCAGAGGGCGACCAAGATGGTCAGGGGTGCCAAAAACATGTTGCTCTGCTTTCCTTTGGGCCACATCAGCAAGAACAAGGGGGGGGGGTTGTTGCCTAGGCAACCCAGGACCTCCATACACAATGTCCAGGCTTTCGCCCCTGGGAGGTTACTTCAGTGCTGCTAACGTAGTGCTTTGACCTCCCCCTGGAGGTGCACTCCATTGTCTCTCGAGGCAGGCAGATGCCAGTGAGAGGCATAGCTTTTCCTGGACTGCACTTGTTTTGGCTGCAGGTATAGGTGGGATCACAATTTTAAATGCTTCTCCTGGGTGGAAGGCTGTGCACATGGGCAGGGGAGAGCACCTTGGGAAGGACAACAGACTAAACCCATCTCCCTGATCATCTAGTTTTCTGCATATAAGGAGGTGGGTGGGTGGAATTTATTATTTAATGAAACTATATCCTCAAAAGAACTTCAATGCATCTTGTAAGTCACGCTGGAAAAAAATACAATAGCCACTAAAGCAAAATGCATCACAATTGCCAAGCGAAAGCCTCAAAATGTTAGAAAGGATTATATGAAAAAACATTGTTCTGGAGCAGGGGTCTGCAACCTTTAAGACAAAAAGAGCCACTTGGACCCGTTTCTGAAGGGAAAAAAACTGAGAGCCGTAAAACTCGTCATTATAAAAATAACTTTTTTGTCACTTTTTTTTATTATTTCTTTGTTTGACCCCTCAGAATTACTCCTCCTCATAGAAATAAACGTTAAATTAACAAGTTACCTTTTTGTGTGTGTTCTCCACTCCCCTTCAAAACAGTGACCAGCGTACATGCCCCCTTTCAATGCAGTGACTAACGCACGCACCGCCCCCATGCGACGTCACAGCCAGTACAGCGCCCGCCACAGTGGGGAGTGTCGGGGCGCACAATGCGCCTCCTTCCCTCGCTAGTATCCGCCCCGGAGCCGCGGCAAAGGTGTAAAAGAGCCACATGCGGCTCCGGAGCCGCGGGTTGCCGACCCCTGTTCTGGAGTAAGTATATTGGTATGTAATGAATGATGCTTTACAGGGTTAAAGAAAAAGAAAAATGGTGTTTAAAAAAAAAAAGTACAAAGGTGGAAGTAATCTAATTAGACACAACAATATAGTAAGAGTAAATTTTTTGAGGTCTTAGAACAAAGGAAGGAAGTCAATACATGTTTATGTACGTAATGATATGGTTTTTTCTGTAGATGTGTGCTTTTTCGTTTATGTTTAGTTTAGTTTTGTTTCCTTTGTTTTTGTTTCCTTTTCCTTTCCTTTCCTTTTTTTTTTTGTATGTTCCTTTTTTTTTTGTGTAGTATTATTTTGGATTCAATGTTTGTAATTTTTGTTATGATTCTGCATTGAAAATAAAAAAATTAAAAAAAATGTTAGAAAGGATTAGACCAACAGTCTCCAGCCAGCATTAAAATGTGCAATACACAGTCCTGTAGTGGTACAGGCCATTCTTTTGCCAAGCTGCTTCTCAGCACCTGCCCCAAGGCAATGTAGTGGACAGACAGCCTTGACCAGAGGGAGCACAGGCACGCTAGAGACCAGGAAGGACCTTGAGGAAGAGATCAAAGGAAAACTCACAGGCTGTTGACAGCTGGGGAACAGGAAGAGAAGGCTGAACAGGGCAATCCCAGGGCAGGAGCATCAGCGCAGGCAAGGAGGAAGGGCCGAAGCTTAGCGGAATGTGCTTTACATTCAGGAAATACCTGGTTTGATTCCTTGTCTGGGCTGGGAGAGAGCCCTGCCATCAGTCCTGGAGAGCTGCTGCCAGTCTGTGTGGGCAGTACTGAGCTAGGTGGACCAGTGGTGAAGCACAGCTCCCTATGCTCCTAAGCAGCAGAGATGACAGGGGCAAATGGCACGTCTGCAAAAACACATCGTTTGGTACCAATGGAGAGTTGCATCCTGATGGACCAGGTCAAAGGCCCATTTGGTCCATCATCGTGTTCTCGCAGTGGCCAGCCAGATCCCCCTTTTCATGAGATGTCAACATTGCAGGACACCCGAGTCAAAGGTTTACAACAATGGCAAGTCTCCGAAGGCAAAGCCTGTTCAGAAAGCTGGTTTTGCTGTTTACACTCGGATCTTGCTCTCCATCAATTTCCCAGTTGCTCAGCTGCTCAAATTGGGCACCCACAGCCCGGGCGGTTCTCACACAATGCCTTCCCAGTCCTTTACACCACAATGACGACTCTCCTATTTTAGTACCAAGCTGCAGGAAAGCACCGCAGCTGGGCGAAGAATAGTGGGCGAGAGGGGCGTTTAAGCTATGGAAATATTCCTCCAGGCAAAATGTAGGCAACCACTTCCAGTCAACCAGAGCTCTTAACAGCTTGGGACCAATTCACTTGTGGGATCGCTTTACCCCATAAATGCCCCACTCGACCACTTTGATCTACAGAATTGGCACTGTGTTCCAGGCACAACATAATACTCATCCCGCAGTTGTAAGTAACTCCGGAACTCCCTGCCTATTGACATGAGGCAGGCACCTTCCAGCTTGCACTTGGAATGTGTTTCAATATTCTTTTATGGTTAATTTTAACTATTTTTATTTTATTTTATTTTTATTTTATTTTTTTACCAACAACCAAAACACAGTGAAAACAAACAGTGAAACCCCCCAGGCGGCTGAAACATTGGGTATACATAATCAATAATAACATATTAAAATCAACCATATGTACAATTCTATATACCTTAACACTCCTCCCTCCACAAGGTTTATTTAACTTTTAACGTTTTAATTGCCCCAAATTGTTCAAACCTACTCAAATAATTCAATATCTTCTCATATCAATCCTCC